AAATTTTAATCTGAACTAGGAAGAATTAAAATTTCAATGTCCTAGTTCGATTTAAAACTGAACTAGATTTTAATTTGTCCTACGACATATATATATATATTTACAATTTAGCACAAAGCCAACCACAATGTGCTTCTAATTTTCGTTCTTTTTTTACTGCTTCACCAGATGCATCAAGAGCAGCTATATAAAAATAAATAGAAAGTAAAAATTTCAATTACAAATAAAACTAACCATCATGTTCTGCGCCATCATTTGTATCATTTCCAATTTCTTAATGAAATAAATAATTAATTTATAATCTATAACAAATATATTTTCTATTTACCAGCTTTACGTATCCATGCCATATAATTTCGAAATGATTCATCAATAAGTTGAATTTCTCTTAATTTTTGAAAATCACCTCTTTGTTTAGCTTTTTCTCTTTCTTTAGAAAATTCACTATTAAGAAACACACACAAAAAAAAAAAAGAAAAGAAATACTTCTTTTTCTTAAATTCAAAATTTTGGATTATCGAAATCTATACCCGCTTAAAACACCCAAAACAAGATTCATAACAAAAAAAGAACCAATTATTATCAATGAAACAAAATAAATCCATGCCCATTCTCGTCCAATAGCATCATTCATCTAAATAATTAAGAAAATAGCATTTTTCAATGTGATTATACAACTAGAAAGAAAAATACGGAATTTACTACATTTTCTTTTATTTAGAATACAACATAACCTCAAAGACTTTCCGATAGAAAGCTGTTGATCCAAGGATTGCATCCCCGTTTTTGCGAATGCGCCGCTCCCTATTTTCCGATGTTAGTTTAATTCAAACATTTTAATAAACTACTACTTAGTCTTCATTGCTTATACGAATGAACTGCATTTTTGGAAAATGTCATTGGCCAATTAGAATTTTTTGCAAATACCAATATGATGAATTTAACATTTGGACACCTTCTTATACTCGATTGTTTTATTTAGTATATCGAGACATTATTTCTTATAGTTTTGATAATACATTTTTATTGATATTAAACAATGTATGAAAATGATCTCATTTGGTCTTTATTATGATACATACTCGATATAAAATTGATGTCCATCCTTCCATTGTTATGCATTGAAACACAGTCAACATAGATAAACCAAAATTATCGAAATTGATTATTCCATACCAAGGTCCTTCCCAACCGATATCTTTACATTCTTGACCTTGAGGACATTTTCGACCTTTTTCACCACATGGTCGAGTTTCAACGTCTCGTGGCAGTATAGCTAAAAAGAAAATTATAATTTTCATTGATTTTCATTCATAAATTCAATCTTTGTTTTATTTTTTATACATGTTCCATTTTTATAACAGGTCATGTGCATTTTTCCACAAAATAATTCTAAACCAATAATAGCATAGATAATTATGACAAAGAGCACTAGTAGAGCTATATGTAATAATGGTAACATGGCTCGTAAAATTGAATTTAATACTATTTGTAGACCTGAAAAAAAATTTCAAATTTGAATTTCTTAGATAAACTAAATACTTGTTTTTTGAAATATTTTTAAATAATATATAACAAATAATTCTTCTTACCAAGTTCAATATCAACAACGTAAAGCAAGTACATGCAACCAATATATATATATATATATTTACAAAAATAAATACCATTGAAGCATGCAGGGAAAGGATGATAATGACAACTAATATATATATATATCTAGATTTTTTTTTTTATTTACTCGGTACGCCATTGACAAGTTTTAACGGTCGGATAACACGAAATGCTCGTAAAGATTTGACATCAAAACCTTGTACATTATATTGAACCAATATAACACTCAAAAATCTATGTAGAGCATTTTATATTGTTGTCAATTGAAATAAAAAAAAAAAACTTCTCTCATACCCGACAACAACAATAACAAAATCGAGTAAATTCCATCCACTTCTTAAATATGCATTCGGATGAAGACACAAACCATAAGCAATAATTTTTAAAAAAGCTTCAAGAGTAAATATAGCCAAAAAAATATACTCGATTTGTTCCTTTTAAAACAAAACAAATAAAATTTTATTAATAAATTTGCAATCCAAAAATGTAATTTTCTTTTGTCATTTTTATAAATCTAAAAATTATCTAATTGATTTATGATAGTTGTCAACTTTTTTTTCTCTTTTTTTTGTTTTACATATTTATAATTATCCGAAACAAAAATGGATGAGATAAATAATTCAATCAAATTATAATACATGAAAGAGAAATCTCTTGAGAACAATTATTTATAATTGAATTCATTATCTTTCAATTTTGACCTCGATAATTTTTTTTTTTGTTTTGTATTTTAATTCTATATATCATTTCAAATTCTATTATTTACAAGTATTGAATTTGTTGGTGTTGTATCATTAAATGGTAATGGTTTGCTAAGAGCCAATGCAGCACAATTACAAAAAATAGTAAACAGCACCAAATATTCAAAAGGCCTAATAAAAGCAAAAAAAAAACCAAATCTTCGAAATAGATATTTAGTACATACTTCCATTCAACTAATTTAATACATGTTCGACGTAATTTATTATCAAGTGTTAAACAAAATAATGCTCGACTAGGATGTTCAGGTGTTGTTTGTCGTCGTTTACGTCTTCGAATTTCTGCTTGTTGTAATACAGTACTCCATGCATTATTACCGGTAGGTATATCGAGTAGATGAGCCTAAGATTTATGTTCAAATAAAATTTAAAAAAAGAAAAAAACCACAAAGTATATCTTACAGCTTTTTTTGGTGGTGCTTTCATTTGCGGCGGTAACGGTGGGACTAAAAAAAAATTAAATTATATCAAAATATTTTTTGTTTTATATTTTATTTAACTTACGTGTATCATATTCATCATCCGCCGCATATGAATATTGTAATGGACTAAACATCTTATCGTTTTTTATTATCAAGATCTTATTGATAAAATATTTTTATATTGAATTCTGGAATGACAATTGTAAGAGACTATAAAGCAAAAAAAATCAAATCAAATCAAAGTATTGATTTAGAAAGTTAATTGAGCGAAACATAAAACGAGAACAAATAACTTACAATGAAGAGAATCATCATACATTTCTCTTTTCTTTTCTTTTTTTTTTTTTTTGTTTTTTCTATTTCCTAGCAAAAGAACTAAATATTTGATCAAAAGTCTAGAAGAAATATCTAAATAAAAATATACAGATAGTAAGACATTGTTGAAGAACGATCAATATCTCTTTAAAAGAAAACAAATCATATTAAAGGGTCATACAAGGTCGCCGAAGAAAATATCATCAAGGATTTTTTGTTTGTCTTCCATACATCCGGTTCCAAATAAGGACAAAAATGTTCTGGGGTTACAGTCAATGTAGATAGAAACCGACTGTGCTGCCACATATAATTCTATTTTGATTTGCAATAAAACCGGAATATTTTTAAAATTATTTCGAGATTATTACTAAATTAAGTTAATATTATTTTTTTAAAATTACTAAACATGAATAATTAGCCAATAAAATAATTTGTTCTCTGTATAAATAGGTTTATATACATAACATATGGATTTTTCGTTAGACATTTATCATTCTTCATGTCTAACAATATGTCATCAGATCTTCGATATAAAACATGGGTCAAACTAAAAAAAGGAATAACAGCTTTTCAATTAGAAAGAAATAACGCATTTAAATTATTAAGAAAAAAAAATTATTTATTATTAATTTAAACTGTAGTACAAAATAAAGAATTGAAAGATTGTTTGACGGATGTGAGATTCTTATGATTGGATAAAATAATATTTATGCTTATTATCTATAATAAATATGCAGTCAAATGATAATTGACCTTTTCTAATTGATACTCTTTAATAAATTTACAATTTCTTTTGATATCATAGGAAAATATCAGCGAATCAATATAAATGTTAACTTTCGAAAGTTCTTGATTTGCATAAATCAATTAGTTTTATTATAATTCAAAATGAATTGATGCAATTATAGTACTCTGTTTAGATTATATTTTCCTGAATGAATTCAAAAATGAACAAAAGAAAAGTGATTTGTACGAAATTAATCGACAAACATTACGGAAGTATATTTCATTGTGTTCATCGGAAATGAATCAATATTGTATATGATTATAACAAAAAAACAATTAAGTATTGCTTGCACATTAAACATGGAGTGTAATGTTTCTCTGCTTCTGAAATTCATCTACACAATGCTTTCTCTCTCTCTCTTCTGCCTTCCGTACGGAGTGACGCCTCTATACTAAATCAAGTTATAGTTCCGTTAAAATATGACAATTATATTAAATAAAGTACGGTTAATCGAACATCGATAGAACTGCAGACAAAATAACATAAATATATTCGCAATAATTATTTCATTTATTGGTTTTTATTCTTTCTAGAAGAAAGAAATAATTTATAAAGAAAAAAGAAACTAAATAAGGAGCAGTTCAAAAGATTTCTCTATAATTTTATCCAATGAATAGTTCATATATTAAAATTAATTTTCCAACAATGAAATTTGACTAATAATAAAGTAATGAAAATCTAATTGATTAGATAAAATCACCTTGTCAAAAATAATTTATTACCTATGAAATAACAGAAAGAAAAAATATTTTTCTTTTTCAATATCAAATCAACATTGTATATTACTGAAAAATTTAGCTAAAGCATAAATTATTCGATTATAATTGCTACGAAATTATTTTTTTTTCTTATATGTCTTAATTTTATGTGTTTATTTGAATCATCTGAAGAACAATTTCAAAAGTTCATTGAAAATTTT